CTTATGTTCTCCTCTCTTCTCAAAACTCTCGCCATTGAAGGTGACTTCCCGTCTGGTGGAAGTCTCTAAAATCGCGGAACGGTCGAGAACCAGTAACTGGTAAAATACCACGTTACAATACTTTAGGAATTTGCGGTACGATTTTCGGGTAACGAATTTCGAGGTTATTTGGCTTTAGCGTTAGGGAATTCTCCGGTTTAGTGATTCCGGTCAAAAATTACCTGGCGCCCATTTGATTTAATTTTAGCAGGTCTGATTAGGCTTAGGGGAAGTAGGGCGAAGGTAACTGGCATTTTCAACCCCCTTACACAAATGTCACGTTACAAGAGATAATAATGACTCTCTCAGAGATGAATCCAATCCAAGGCCGATTTTCAACAATAGCGACAGGAACAACGCTCAACAGTGAAATTAGATGGAGTCAATTCGGCGGGGGACGAATTGACTCATGAACTGCAAGCTTTCACCAGAATTTACCAATCACTCATCGACAAAAAATTAATCAATTTGGATTTGACGCTGATCGGACGGATAAATAATCAGAATTGTTAAATGCTTGTAGAACCGCATCTGATATTTCATTACTTAATCCAAAATTCTACGACGCAGTATCTTCAGTTTTCAGACGGGTTGACCAATCGTTCAACATCCTCACAATGGCAAAAACGAAGTTTTACTATCACTCAGTACAGAATACGACAGTTCATTTTGGTCGACTTTCCATCAACTTGTATTTAGTACTGGCTGAAGTATCTCTGAAGTATCTCTGAAGATTGCATTCTTTGTTTGGACTTCCTTTACAAATCTCGAATTCTTAAGAATTTTAAAGAGATCCTGAAGAACAAATTTGGAGATACGACAATGGATAAAACTGTATCAGCCAGGGAAGTCACGGTTCAGACATCAGGTAAATCTAGGACCATTCTAAAGTTACCCGAATTTCTGGAAAAAGTCGTCCAAAAATCTATTAAATTTTTTAGTCAACACCCGAAACAAAAATTGGAAAATTTCCTGATCAAGTTACAAAAAATTTTTTCAAAAGACGATAACGATTTAGGACGGTATTAAACGATTAAACTGTAACGTGGTATTTTTGTTTCGACCGTTCGTCGGTTTATGAGATGTCCAGACGAGAAATAAATCATTGGCGAGGCAAGAGTCTGTCTTTTATTTAATCTCTTGGATTCTGTTTTGTCGTTTGTTATTTTTTTTTTATTATATCGAGTCACGTTTCACCGCTCGTTTCGGACTCATCGTGGGACTTTTTGGAAGTGCTCTCGCAATTTTATTCTGGATCGAGAAGCACGAGTTGTCGGAGGATATTTTTCGGATTTCGGCCACACACGAGGAGTTGCACGAAGGAATCGAGTGATGGCGCCAGCGTCGGAGTCCGCAAATTATGGGACTCACAATTGGAACTTCACGACGAATCTATATTACCATTTAAATCTATGCTATATAATTTGTTATTTTGCGAGACTCTTGAAAATGTTACGAATTGTTGTCATGATTTTCTATTGACAATTAAAAGAGTCCAACTATTAATTGTCTTAGAATGTTGGGCTCAGATATGGATTTATTCTTGAAAAATCCTCTGTTACCTTTGGCGACATTAATATTGGCCAATCGGATAGTCTCGCGAAGATGATGGACCAATCATGTCGTTGTCTGATTTTGTCACCTGTTGAGCATAGTCGCTACGCCGTTAACGAACACTTCTCGTTTGGACGCCGGACCAGTGACAGCAAAACTATTAGTTGTAAAGTTTGATTTTTGTGGAGACGTTCTCGGGCGAAAGGAAAAGACCACGGAGGATATAGACGAGTTTGGGAGATTCCTCACTGCTCTGGGACCTCATTTAATAAAGTTCGGTGAGCGGTGGATTCATTAAAAAGTGTTTATTGTATTTCGAAGCATTTTTGAATCTCTCGTTCTTGTTAATTATTGAACTCATTATTCATGGCACTGACGTCATTTTCGAGTATTCCGATTTCTGGTTTGTTTAGTCTCGTTCGGTAGTCATTATAATTTTGTTAACGTTAAGTTTCAATGACTCGTTGTGATATTGAGTGTTCCTTGACTTAGAAAATCGTGGTCTTAACTGAATAATTTAACGACTCTTGCCTCTCTCCTATATAGTATATTTGGAATTTATTGTCGCCTCATTATCAATTATTCTTTGTTTGGCGAAATACCGAATTCTCGAGGTCATTGATATTATCGTCGAGATTTCACCCTCATATTTATCGTGGTCTGTGTAGCCACGGAATATTTTTTTTGGATTAAATGTAATATTTTTATTTTGCAGCATTGAAAGATGAATTGCAGCGTCTGTCGACGCTCGAGATTGGTGTTTTGCCGGTAACCCTTTCGGTTACTTTCGGCGTTTGCTTACGTTCTCTCGAGGTAATTCCCCTCTCAATCGCTTAACTCTCTTTTCTGTCGTATCAGTGGACACGCTCGTTCCTCGTGATAAATGTAGATTCCGATACTGTATAGAAATTCTGACTTAATAATTACTAGTTGTTTTACCGACTCATTAGAATCTTTATTAAAATTTATTTTCTTTGTTACCGAGGACAGCGTGAGTTACAAGTTAAAAGAAGTCGGGGATTTTAAGATATTTATTTTGTTTCTTTTTGATAATTTCGACAATATTAAATTATTAATTTGTTACCCCACAATCATTTAATTTGTTTGAGTTGATTTAACGCAGCCATTTCAGAATTAAGGACAGTAATTGGAATCCAGCCGCCGCCGCGGGTGATATACTGACTAGTTGGCAACTGCCCTTTCTGTTCTTCACTTTTTGAAATTTTTAGCCGTTTTATTGAAAACGTCCTGGCGCCTAACTTATGTCGTTTTGGATTTGGTCGCCGAGGGCTGCGTATATTTCTCCCTTCTTCCGCGGAGAGCAAAAATACGTCACAAAACATAAAATCGTTATGGAAAATTCAGGTCCAATTAAATAGAGTCCACGACGGGTACCACTCCAGTAACGAGATAAGACCTATGATTTGATTGGTCAAATGATCGAACAAAAAATCATTGAACCATGTACAGACCCATGGTTATCGCTGGTCACCTTAGCCCTTGTAACACTGTTCCCCGATTTCGTCCCGAAGATCGGCGATAGTCATTACCTTCGCCCGTTCCCGTGCGTACATCCTAAAATCCAACCGAATTACTGCGGGTGCCAGCTAGCTTTTTTGGGGCCAAAAGCTAACGAAAACCGGAAGAACCGAAACAAAGGCAAGGAGAGGGGGTGCCCTGCCTTGCCCGAGGTCAGCCGACCTCATCAAACCCAAAATCCCGAAATATCCAAAAAAAAAAACAAGAGCACAAAAGGACAGGACGAGTGGGGTTGGAACTCGTCCTCGCGACAACACACAATCCGTAAATCCATAAACTCAAAAACCGGGGAGTCCGTACTCCCCGAACTAAAACGATAACCTCATTACCGTAAAACTACCCGCGAGAAGCTAGAAGCCGATGACGAATGGAACGGAAGCGGGAAGACCTGGGTTGCTCAGGATGCTAGGTCGTGGAGAGAGGGCCAGGGTCCAGGGCATAAAACTTACTTCCTGTTAACGTCGCCAGGAAGGTCTTCGAAGATTGACTCCTCGGGACGCCGACCAGAACGTGGACACTGTGGAGTTTTAACCCCCAACTTGCCACAACTAAAACAAAATATCCCAACAGGAGGCTTCGAATAACCCGAGCGAAAATGTCCCGTTTCTCCACAATTATGACATAACCTTGTTCGACAGGAAGAAACTGCAGTATTCCCCGACGAAACAACATCAACTGGAATCTCAGGAATGAACGAATGAGAAGTTCCACTAGCAACAGAAGGCTTCGAAGATCTCTTATTCTTGCCTCCGCTATACTTTGGAAGAGCTCCTCCTTTTGATGACACTTTCGAATTATTCCTAACCGAGATATCAACAGCACTAACCTGAACTCCACCTACCCTCCTTTCTTTGTTCTTGTACTTCTCGGGTGCATAAGAACAGGCAGGATAGATAGTATCACTAATAGCAGGCGGCGCAACAAGAGTCGGCAAATCTCGGCGTTCATCGAAGTCCTGAACCAATTCTTCGAGTTCATCAAAAGGTGAGAACTGTAACGTAACATTTTCACCGGGAATGAAAAATGCCCATTACCTTCGCCCTACTTCCCCTAAGCCTAATAAAACCTGCTAAAATTTAATCTTATGGGCGCCAGGTAATTTTTGTCCGGAATTACCAAACCGGAAAAAGTCCTTAACCCTAAACTTAACTAACCTCGAAATTCATTGTGTAGAAAATCGTACCTCAAACTTCTAAAACTCTAACTCGAAACTATACTCTAAAATCAAAAAGGAAACCTGAAGAGAACGGAAAGGATAATTAGGCTTTAGAGGAAAGGTGACGGTCCTGGGGTCGCTCAGTATGCCAGTTGTGGAGAGAGGAGTGGATCGTAGATGGGGGCAAGGTTACTGCAAAAATCGGGAAAAATGCCAAAAAAGGAAAAAGGATGCGAGAAATAAATGAGTGCAACAAAAACATTGTCCTTACGTGTTCCGCTATTGATGTGAAAGTTCAGTACAAGAATAATCAATGATAAACAATTTTATTAGATTAATCTGCATCCAAATTTTAGTTTGCGATTTCAATTTTCTCTAAATGTTACGGTTTCGACCAATTCCTAAATACAAATTTTATTCTCGTCTTCAATTATCGCGAAATGTTCACACCTAATCCACAATACCATTTCAAGTGCCTTATTAAATCACCGCGAAAAATAAATTATTTAACATAATCCGAAATATTTTGTTGCCTATTCCACATTCCCATAAAATAATCTCACCGGAATGCGGCCTCAAGGATTATCGATCCGAAGAATAACCGAAATATTATTTTCGCCCGGGAAATCGATAATTTCCCGGAATCAGACCCTCAACAAGGGAGCGCGAGCGAGAGAGAGCGAGAGAGACAGCGCTATGCCGCGCTGCTCGGTTAGCAGCGAGGAGAAATCCACAAAATAAATCTGACTTCGATTAAAATTTCGGTGAGGCTATTCGTACAGAGGTGAGCTTAAAGTGTGCTTTGAGTGTGCTTTGAGTGGGTGTAAGGTGCATTTAGGCTAACTTTTTACTCACTTTAAAGACACTCAAAAATCAAAAATCCCTAGAAAATTTTCTGGACATTACATATGGGCCGCGAATTGTTATTCTTTTTTGAGTGGATTCAAAGTTTATTGTAAGTCTACTTTAAGTACATCAAACCATTGGCGTTTTTTGAGTTGCTTTAAAGGTGATTTTAAGTTGACTTTGAGTACGCCAGGCAATTCCCGTTTTTTAGCGGACTTAGAACGTATTTTAAGTCAACTTAGATTAGAATTGGCGTTTTTGAGTGAATTCAAAGCTTTTTCTAAGTCAACTTTGAGTACGCAAAACGTCGTCAAAATTGTCGTTTTTTTGAGTGAATTTAAAGTTTATTTTGAGTCAACTCTAAGGTCACCAGACAATTGTCGTTTTTCTGAATGAATCTAAAGCTTATTTTAGGTCAGCTTCACATGCGCCAGACAAATATCCTTTTTTTGAGTGAATTTAAAGCGTATTGTGAATCAACTTTAAGGGCACCAGACAATTGTCGTTTTTCTGAGTGAATTTAAAGCGTATTCTAAGTCAAATTCAAGTATCCCAGACAATTGTCGTTTTTCGGAGTGAATTTGAAGCGTATTCTAAGTCAAATTTAAGTACAGATAATTGGCGTTTTTAGTGAATTTCAAGTTTATTTCAAATCGCTTTGAAGGATGTTCTATCCAACATTCAATATTTTTTTAGTTTTCTCCCAAATTGTTGATCGGATTGATGCGAAAAAAATATCCGTTTTCGTATTTTTTCATTAGCCCTTGACATTTGCTCGCTTTTTTGGAAAAATATGTCACCTGCGTGTTTGTTTTCAGTGAATACGAGACAGGTAGACTCAATTTAAGTTACTGTATATTTAAAATTTCAAACTGGAAGTGGATTTGACTTTAGAGATTCAAAGTTCTCGATGGTTTCACAGAAGAAACATTTAATAAGCTGGTTTTACAAATATATTCACTGAGGGGCGTTGAGACACTTGTGAGTCTTTTTGCCTAGATTCTATATTGAATGAATTTCAATAATGTACCCATTTAGTGGATGAAGTTATTATTCATTTCATCTTCCAAGCAGCTTCGAATAATTTGACATTAAATTCGTTTCTTTGGTCAAGGTACACAGATATAACTAGAAGGTTTCTTTAAATGCTTTGCTTTTGTCGACAATTGTTGATTACAATTAATTTTTCATCATTTTTCTTTTTTCTTTCGAGTTAATTGTAGCAATTTTTCGAAAGCTTCTACTTCTAAATATTCTCTTACGAGATTTACATTACTTTCATCCAAAAAATTATCAGAAATTTTGTCAATTGTAGATAGAATATCCTCAAACTTTATGACGTATTCTCTGTCGAATATTAATTTTACATCACATTCTTTAACTAAAGAGAACAGCAGTGACTCTATAAGATTGTCATTACCTATAGTGGTGGGATTAAGTGATGATCTGTTTTTTCTGGGAATACTCAGTGTGCACGAGGTTGCACTTTTCAAACGAGAAGTAATTTTTACAGGAGAGGGAAGTGTAATTTGCTCAATCTCGATAAATGTATTCGAAAATAATGACTCTGTACGGCGATCACTGGAAATCGTGGATTCGTCTATAATATCTCTATGCTCCATAGAAAGATTTTTTAAATTGCTCATGACGTCTGCTAGTTCACTGCCTTCGTTGGCTCCTGATTGAGGTGAACGAATATTCGTTACGAGAATTTCTTCATTGCTTTCGCATTTTTTCGCAACCTCTTGTAGGACCTCCCACCGTAGATCAAAGCGTTCTTGATTGCATCGAGACACCGTGTAAAGAATGCGATTCAAAAGTGGTTTCAGTAAGCATTGCTTTTGTTTTTCAGTCATTTTTTTTTTGTTTAATTACCTGTTGTATGGAGATATTAGCAGTTGGAATACTAGACTGGACAATATGGCTCAGATCGGTTGCTCTTCTAAACCGCTTGCATAAAGTTTCATCAAAAAGTGACAATCCATACTCACGACGAACGGTAAAGATATGCCGACAGGGACCCAACAGCGACAACCAAATTGGGCAATCACATTTCCAAGGAGTTACTTTTAAGATTGTGCTATTGCAGTTTACACTGCACTCCATTGTTTGGGGATCAGATGTTCGTATTGTAACAAATTTACTCATCTTTATTTGTTCAATAACGTGCGAATAACCATAATTTGAAAGCAGGGTTTTATATTTTCCTTCATCACTATCTGGTGGGAAAGCAACAACGTTTGTTTTAAGTACTTCTGAAATCTTTTCATAATCGTAATTACGTTCTCTATATTTCATAAACTCAAATAAACCATGTATAGCTGGGACTAAAGCGTCACGGGTTTTCAGCCACTCTTTAAGTTTTGCATTCAACGATTCTATTCTGTTGTTCGTACTATTGCCAAGACTGTTCTCAACAAGACCGTACCGAGTCCACTCTGCTCTAATGTCATGCCAGTTTTCAAAAAAATATTTTTTCACACCTTCGGAAGCTTTTTCCTTAAGTTCTTTACAGAATTGATCATAATCTTCTTGGGATGAACTTTCGACGAGTTTGTCAATAATTTTTAGCGATACTTTCCGTTGATTAGTAGACATTTGTATCTTTGAATTCGACAGTGCTAGTTTCATAGCTTTTTTCGTATGGAACTTACATAGCATCAATCTTCCATTTACAAAAACGTCAGTAATTGCACTTCGTTCCGTGAGGTCTTTATCGGTCATAAATCCTCCAATTTTCGCACATGCTTCTTGATTGTCCTCTTTGAATCTTTCGAACACACATCTAAGAGTGGAATATTGCTCATCAGCCAAAATTCCAACCCCAACAATTTGGGTTTTAAAATTTCTCCTGAACAACTTGTAAGTAGTGTCGACAAATACCACATCGGGATACTTTAGCAAATCCCTCCGCATTTTTTCAGTTATAAAGTAGAGTCCTTTGAAGTTTTTGTCTTGGTGTAATATTTCGACGTGTGCTTCTAATAAAAAAGAAGTAAAAATATAAGAATTATTATTAGAGTATAGAGATGCACATTATTTCAGAAAAACCAACTACAGATACTATTTCCAATGGTTGAGCAGGATTAAATACTCTATGAGATTTATATTGCATGCTTATTATGTCAGTATCAAATAGTATTTACCGAAATGGCTTTTTGAAATTTAATTTCAAATATTGCACTATTTGAAGTTACATGAAATAGTTGAATCCTTTATATTTCGTCAACTCAAACACATTACCTTCAAAGATAATTTTTTCAATTGAAACTATTTGAATAGTATTTTATTTGTGATGTTCAAAAACTCTGAAATTGTAGTCATGAAAATTTCAACGATTATTTCAAATAATATTTTGCCCAGCTCTGTTTGGATGTAGAGTCTAGAATGACAACCTTGTATGCCACATACCATAAGTTTCTTTCAGAACCTCCACGGCGGTAGGCAAGGAATCATCTCCAGCATTCCGAACTTTTCGTTGCAGATTGTCCAAATCTGTACGAGGTGTGAACTTGTTATCGTCTTCAAAAAGCTTATTCAAAATTTTCCCCAAAATTTAGTACCCTTCTTCGCGCCCATCTCTAATAATTTTAGAGCCTCTGTCTTTTGTTCTTCATTGAGTTTTCGATTGACAGGTAGAAAATCGATATAAGGCTAGAAATGCAATAGTATTTTAGTAAATTTTTGAAAGTATTATCAACGTCAATCATCAGACAACCTTTTTTCTGCGGAGAATTTCTAGAGAAGTTACGCTTTGAAAGTGTTTTTCTCGGAAAATTGAAAAATATTTTTTTTTATTTTTTTTTATTTTTACATTTTTTTCCTTTTCCTATTACCATTGTTACCATGGTTTGATAGGCGCCCCTTCGTCTTACCCTTTAGCCTCTCCTACTATCCTCTCATTAGCCTCTCCTACTATCCTCTCATTAGCCTCTCCTACTATCCTCTCATTATTTTTGCGGTAGCATGGGCCGACTTTCTGTACTGCGCCCATTTGGCGTGTACTGAGGGAAACCATGTAAAACCTCAGTAGCGCAGCCGGCCGGTACTGCGGGGATTCTGCTGTGTTCATCAGTCACACTGACTCCGTGAACACACCAGCTCTCCGCACCCGTGCCTGACGGCGGCAGTCTACACGCCGATGGGTGTGACTAAGCGGGCACCCATCCAAGTACTAACCCAACTGAGCGTTGCTTAGCTTGGGTGATCGCCGGAGTCACACACCGCCCGCGTGGCTACTGTCGCCGCTTAAAATTGAAAAATACGTGTGCTCTATTAATTTGTCTATCATTCCATTCACAACTGTAGATTAATGAAGAAATCCCAGTGTTCATTAAGATAACCCAGAGTAAACTCGGAATTTTTTCCATTAACCGAGAGTTAACTCTCGGTCTAATTCATTAGAGTATAGCAATTCGTTTTTCTCTCTCATCGGACGGTAGTTGTGCCTGAAAAATATATATAAATAAAATTGATTTATACAGACCTCAGTTCCATCGTGATTGTGATGATGATCATCACATCGAGTAACTAGTAAATAGTTCTTCCTCTTAGCAACTCTGATTGTGGCCGTACATCCTTTTTTAATTGTGCTGAAATTCTCGAGAGTGAAGAAACTCCAATTCGGAGATTGCCACTTGAATCTAATATATTGAATTAGTGATGGGAATCAAGGGAAATTATAACTTACCGGCTATTTCACTGTCCGGTAGCTCGAGATTGTCGGAACTGACCAAAAATACATGCACATATTTGTTCGGAAATTTGTAACTGATTTGTCTTTTCATTGTTTTGCTGATGGTCTAGATATTTACTCGATCTAATGACATATTTTTGTTTTGTCGTTTGTTGATATAAATCCAATGCCTTTTGATAGGCATCGTAGCAGGCGAATCTTTGGTTTTTATAAAAAAGCTTCTCCTGCTTTTCCTCAGACATTATTAAAACAAATGAATTAGTATGGCTATTTCGGACAGATTCGGACACCGCGACACGGTAACAGAACACCGTAAGATCGATATTCATCTGTACCGACGAAGATAATCAGTATATATGCGACGATATTTTTATCCATATTCATCCATATCGACGCAAGCGGCCGCGGTGTTGATCACTGCTGATAATGATGATTTAAATGAATGTGACAAATTTTTTTTTTCAATTCTTGGCTGACATGATAATAATATCGTGCCTGGCATACAATAATAAAAACCCTTCGATTATTTTGCAATTACATTTAAAAGTGATTTTAAGTAACCTCTTATCAGCACCCAACAATTTGTTACTACACTGTGTCAGAATGTTTATATTTCATAGGAACGGGAATAATAAATAAATTTTTGAAAATTTGTATCTATAATGACTTGATAAGACACAACACGACTAATTAATCAGTGTATCACAAAGAGACGATTTTAAGCTCATTTTAAACTGTTACTCACTCAAATTTTCTACGTTAACCAAACATTCTACGTCAAGTCAAATTATTGAATCATATAATTCTCTATAAACATAGTTTTTCACTACATCGGATTCTCTTTGATCCCCCAAATATATTTTTAATGAGTGCCAAGAACGTACCCGTGATAATGCGACATAAAGTTGTCCATGATTGAAAATATCTCGTCTGAGGTCAATCCCAATTTTCTCAAAAGTTTGTCCTTGTGATTTGCAATGATACACTGATTAATTAGTCGTGTTGTGTCTTATCAAGTCATTATACATACAAATTTTGAAAAATTTATTTATTATTCCCGTTCCTATGAAATATAAACATTCTGACGCAGTGTAGTAACAAATTGTTGGGTGCTGATAAGAGGTTACTTAACATCACTTTTATATGTAATTGCAAAATAATCGAAGGGTTTTTATTATTGTATGCCAGGCACGATATTATTATCATGTCAGCCAAGAATTGAAAAAAAAAATTTGTCACATTCATTTAAATCATCATTTTCAGCAGTGATCAACACCGCGGCCGCTTGCGCCCTTGTTCGATTAATGGCCCATCTCTCTTTCTATATAGGACTAGCGCCGCCGCGGCCGCGCCGTTGATGCAATTCTCCGTGTCAATTCTCATGGAACTGCTCGTGTGAATTCACCTTGAATAAATGCACAGTGCCCCATGAGCATTGCGCCATGACACTTGTGGTGGGCGCCATGACAGTGCTCTGCTTTTTTTAATAGGATTCCCCTGATCGATATATCGAGAATAGTTACAATCGATTATCTCCATGAAATCCGCCATGTTCGATTAATGGCCCATCTCTCTTTTTATATAGGATTCCTCTCGTTTTTCGTCCATGTGTCTATGCTTCTTTAATTGTTCCCGACTGGACAGTCTGACGATGACGATGAGACCGAGCCAACAGAAATCATCGAGCAATCAATCAATCAGGTTAGATGCCTGACTGATATCTTACTACAGTCGTCGCCATGCAAATTGTCAAGCTAACAGCTTTTCACCCTCTAACCATCTAACATCTTTTATCTTTATTGTTATTAATAATAACATGAGATTTCTTCAATTTCTAGGAGCACAATACTGATTATTCATCTGCTTCCTCTCAATTCCCACCAAAGAATTTAGTAGCCAACTCTGCGGCTACTAACTTTGCTAACGACGATTTTGGTCCTATGAGGAAAAAACGACGAGTTTGCGACATCATTTCATCAACAGTGAAAGCAGGTGAAAAGGTAAATCACGCCATATAAGTCAATACAGCATTTCGTCGAGGTTAACTTATTTTTCAAATGTCCTAAAGTGGATTATTGAGTTCTACGGATATTGAGGGCAACAAAATTTGGTTCTCTTAGAGATTATTCAACGAAAATTATCACATCAACGTTTTTCACACAGCGTGAAACTGGGTGGATAGAATTATTAATGGGGAGCTGAAATAAGCGAAGCGTGATTAATTCCTGAATCTCGGTTTGTTTTTTATTTCAGACAAAACTAATTCACTACAATCCTTCCTAACAAATGTGGTCTTTCCATCGTTATTGCTCATAAAAAAATCCTAAAAACTGAACCAACCGAGATTTTACGTTTCCAATTGGACTAATGGAAAAATGAATGGAAAAAGAGAAATTGAATGAGAAAATTCTATACAAGATTATAGGATTTTTTATACGAATGATATGGAGTATTTAACCGATCTTCATAGAATTTTTAAAATAAGATTTCCTCCCAGTTTTCTATTAGATTTTTTTATGACTGGTGAGGGTGATATTTTTTCAAATTGATAAGATTTTCTTCTAGCAGGCAATTAAAAGGAGTATTTTTTTTTTAGAATTTCTCCACAATAGAATTGTTGTAGTTGGTGGGACCTACAGGGTATGATTTTGGATTTTTTGGAATATTCTCCGCAGCCATTGGCAATCAACCAAATAACAGCAAATGATTTTCTTGGCTCTAATTTTGAGAGAAAAATTAATCCTCTAAATACCCCCCCAGTAGTAATATCCTTAGAGTTCCACATAAATCGGGCATTTCCTTAAAGTTTCATGGATTCTCAATCTACAAATATCGAAACGTTAATATATATCTCAAAGTTTATTTTATTCATATTTCCTAGCAACTGAGTATTAGTTTTGTGAAATTTGTGAAGTAAACGTTTTTTAATTTTGAAACTAAGTCCAATTCTGAAATAAGTCTCCAATTTGTGAAATTTTTAACTGTAGTAGGTACAAATGAGCTCAAGACATTTTTTTACTAATCTACAATATTTTAGGAATCTACAATACAAATTGAACAATGGAGTTCAACTGCAAAATCAGAAGGGGATTCCCAAAGCTCTGATGAGAACTTCGACGCAGAACCTCACAACTCAAGTGCAAACTCCAAGGACGACAAAGTCCAGAAAACGACAACGCGTCAAAAGTTGGAACTTCTCACTCCTTAAATACCTCAGTTGATCTCTCAGACACCGCGATCATAGATATGTTCGAAAACTATCCAATCAATCGCGAGCCACTGAATGAACTGAGAATGAGCACAATTATACGTTCTTTAGGTGAAACTGACAATACTCCAGTGAGAAATCAAATGGGCCTCTCATCGTCTCATTTTCTACGTGCTACTGCAAGTTGCACACAACCACCAGTTAAGATTTGGGAATCATCGGCTATTCCTCCTCATCAAAGACGGGCCTGTCAGACAACACTTGTCGATGAGAGTATTTGCATAAACGATTTGCAAATGAATACAAACGAAAATCCGAAAGGACGTCCTAAGGGAGAAATGCTCAATGTAATTGGAATTCCAAAAAGAAAAATTCCTTTAGATTTCCAATCCAAATCTCCTCTCGAAAAGAAAAATCAGTTGTTGGAGTGGATTCTTGGACCAACAGTGGTTCAACAACTATCTAGTAATGAATATCAAGTTTCAGTCACCGATTTAAACCCCATCCCGGACAGTTTCATGGACGAGAGTATCGACTTGAAACTTCTGCAAAGATCTCTCCC